CTGTAAACCGGCTCCGCTCAAGAAAAAAACGGAGCGGATCGTGAAGAGGTAGAGGCGCCCCGGGAGGCCCCCGTGAGCGGGGACGCAGCAGGGCTCTTGGGAACCGGCCGCTCAGCCGGGGGCAGAAGGGGGAGAAAGCGGACAAGGGCGACGGCGGCGCTGAACCTGCTCGGCGAGGCTGTCCCGGCGGCTCGGAGCATGTGAGAGCCGAGATGCTGCGACGCGCGGAGCTGGTGGTGTGCGGCGGGGCGCGGCGGCCGCCCTGGGAGCGCGCCCGTGGCGAGGGGGTGCCAGGAGGAGGCTCCCCGCCGCCGCTGAAGGGCGGCGAGCCCCGGCGGGGCGGCAGCAGGTCGCGATGGCCTCCTGGGCGGCGCGGGAGACACCCCGGCGTGTCGCGGAAGCTGCTGGGCAGCCGCACGCACAGCCACTACCAGCACTGGCAGCACCAGCAGCAGCTGCAGCAGCACTGCCGCGCCTTCCGCCGCTGCCAGCGGCCGCGGGTGCTGCTCTCCCTGAGGCCCGTCAACGTCTTGGGCAGGCGGGCGCCGGGCATGCGGGCGCCCCGCAACACCAACCAGTTCCTGATGCGGGAGAAGTACCAGCTCATGCACCTGCGCTCGGACTCGGTGGGTACCGAGAGCGGTGGGTCGGACTGCGAGATGGACCCGCTGGACATGGACTCCTATCTGGGGGTGCTGGAGAACGCCCGCGGGGCGCTGATGGAGTGCACTGGGGAGGCCAGGCCCGCCTCCCGCCCGTCCGCCCAGTGCCCCACCGGGAGCGGTGTGGCCGCGGGCCCGCTGCAGGAGGAGAGCCAGCAGTACTTCCCCTCCGAGGACGATGTGATCGAGAGCGAGCTCTTCATGGAGAGGGACTTCGACGAGTTCTGCAGCAGGATCGCCTGAGCCCCGCGGCCGGGCGCTGTCGGGCCGGGCTCCTGCATCTTCCCCTGGCCGGTTTTTGGGGGTTGGGGGGGTCTACTCGCCGTGAAACCTCTCGGGGGAGCAGGAGAAGTTTATTTATTTCTCAGTCACCCCTTTGCATTTTCGTCTGGGGGGCTGGCTAATTTTATAAAGGTGTGTGTGTAAGCAGGGGGAAACCCTGCACCTCCCTTGGAAATAAAGCGAACTTTTCTGCTGGCGAGCTCGGAGCCGTCCGCGCTTTGCTTACGGGGGTGAGAGGACCGCTGCTGCCCGCCTCGGGGCACCGATGGGGGGGGTGCTGGGTTGGCTCTCCCGGCCCTTTCTCCTCCAAAGTCACCACGGAAAAGTTAAGAGGCGTTCCTGGCGCTCGCCCCTGTTTCTAATTTACTACGGAGAAGTTCAGTGATCGCTGCGGACGGGAGAGGAAAGCCCTTTCCCCGCTGGGGGGGGCGGAAGGGAGCTGGAGAGGAACGGCGACGGGAAAACAAACTGCAACGGGGGAACGAACAGCGCGCCGGGGGGAGGAGGGGAAGGACGGCCTCGGCCCCGCTCCAGCACGCACCGCCGGGGATGGGGGGATGAACACGCCGCGGGGTATTGACTGTTTCCCGGGGGACAGGGAACGCAACCGAACCCTAATGGTCTCCGGGCACCAGTTCCTGGTGCCATGGCTGCTCTGGGTTCCTGCGGCTATTGGAGCGTTTTCATGGCTGCCTTGTACTTATGACAGCGGGGGGTTTATTCCCGTTTTACCAACTACAGCAGGGGAAGAAATATCTAGAACGATATTTAAAGGGCCTCTGCACACCGAAGAATGCAGCCACCTACCAGCTGAACCAAGCGCTGCTGAGGCAATAGCGAGGTTTCTGTTTTACACTTACCGTGGAGGGAACAAAGAAGGTAACCATCAAACTCACCAAACCCTTGAAAGGGAAGTGGGAGGCATCCATTCAAGGTAGGGGGAAATTAGCAGTTACTTTACAAAACAGGTAACATTCCTGGAACTTGTTGCCACAGGAGAAGATGGGAGCACACTGTTTCCACTAGATTAAACAAACTGGTGATAGCATGTCCGTGGACATGCAGGCACACAGCACCAGTGATCAGTGCTGGGGTAGCAGGAAAGGAGCAGGGATAGGAGAAGCAGCTCCTCACACAGCCCAGCCTGTGAGCACCCGTGCTGCTGAGCCAGAACACCGGCCCTGTGAGACACAGGTCTCATCTAAAGCCTTTCTTACATTCTCAACCCCAACTACAGCACAACTATTGCACGCTTGGAGACGGGTATCTCGGAATCATTTTTCCATGTGCCTTCTTTTCCCTGCAGCACGGTGTCAGCTGTCACATGCCTTGTGCTTTTCACTAGGTAAAGACATACGTGAGAAGTTCGTAGTTAGGAACATTGCTGTCCCTCCTCTAATACATGCCTGCGAACTCGAGGACAGACATCTGCCCTTCCATGTCAGAACAAGTGTGATGTTGAGAGACAGAGCCAGATAATACCTTTTACAATTAGAGACCCAGAGACAGGAGTTTATCCTCACAAAGGAAACCAAAATTTAAGGCAAAATATTTGAAATTTCTAGTACATCAGTTGCATTCCTATGAAATGCAACATCCAAATACACAATTTTCTTCACCTTTCCTAAGAAACAAAGCTGATGAACACACTAACATCAAGATTTTATTTGCAAATGGCACATACATACACATATAAACTTAAGGCAATATAGTAAATTTGTTAGATGCAAAACATAGCTGTTACTGGCAACGGGAGGTTTTATTAGAACTATGATTATACAGGGAATTTCACTCAATGGGAAGCTGTTTTAGAAGAGAGGTAAAGGGATAAACCCCACACACAGGTAAATCAAACCAGGAAAACTGCAAAGATTTGGTGTTGAAGCAGCTTGTGTTTTATTAATGAATCTAGATCTGGTGTAACACGTTAATGGTTTGAATGCGTGCTCTTTTTTTTTTTCCTGACTTGCAATTCCAACAGGTGTGATAAAAACCTCCGAACACTTACTTCAAACTTGGCTTTTGTTCTGTAGTACTGCTGGTAAATTTGTCTCCTAGTATGGATCTGCTTGAACACCAGTGAAGCAGTGGAGGAGTGTAAATTAATAGAACAGCATAGGAACATAATTACAGGTCACATACTGCCTTACAGAACTGTTTGGAGAGCAAGCCCTGTGTTCTCACCTCTAGACAGAGTGACTTGCCATGAACAATCCATTCCTACCAAAGCTCTAGATGTACACAATGGCACCATCCCTCCCCACCCCCAGATTCCCTGCAGTACTCACCACCAATTCAGATTGCAGGGCCCTGTGAAGGGCAGGAGCACCAGACACCACTTCAGCCTGTTCATCAGTCATGGAAGAAGGAGGGAAAGAAAGATGACACAAATGGGATTCCCCTTGTCTTCTGAGTCAGTACAGAGCTGAAACATAGATGTGTTTGGCCACACACCAAGCAAAGCTGATACCAGCACCTTCAGTGAGGAAACCTCGCATATTGCCCTTCATCTCCATGCTCTCATATTCACTTTCTTACTCCACACCTATGCAGTTACCCTTGTCTCACCAGCAAGCCCCATTCCTCTTAAAGACCTTTTCTTGGTGTGTTACTTGTATGACTCAGATCTGGCTTAATAATTTCTTTTTTTCCTGTTTCCTTCCTTTATCACTTGAATTGCAAATTTCTCAAATGTTTGGGAAGTACCTCCCTTGTAATGGATGCAACCACAAATAACAACTTAGTAGTAAGTCTGAAAGCACTTTACAAAGCTGAAATTCAAAACATAACGAAGTTAGTCAACATCAAACCTGGGAAAAGAAACCAAAAGCTTACTTCAGAAGGTCACTGATCAACCCACTGGCCAACAAACTTGCTCCTTTTCTTAATCTTTACAATGTCAAGTTTTATACGTGCATCATCTGCTTCCAAGTATTTCTTGTGCCACTGTCCCAAATCTGATTCATAACACACAGATACTGAAGCAGATCACAAAACTACAGGAAGAGTTCTCAAACTGATCAAGGATATCTTTGGGCCCTACTTATTTCATCCTTTGAATGCTTAGAGCCTCCATTTTGCTTTGACAAATTATTAGTTTGATTATCATTGTAATCTATCCAATTGCATTATAATGACATATTGAACACTAGAATTTGTGAGAGAGGTGTTATCAATCAGGAAACACATGCCTGTGTTATAAGTCACACTGTAACTGTTGTATGGACATGATAAAACATTAAATATATGCTTGTAAAACCAGCACTATTTTTAGAACTATCCTACCTTACTTTCTTTTTAAAATAGTTTCACCAGAAAAGGATTTTGCTTTTACAGCCACACCTTTCATACAGGTGAGTTTTACAAATTCAAACAAATGTCATTAACAGAACCTTATATATATTCATTAAATCACTGGGGTTTTTTTTGTTTTGGTTTTTTTTTTTTAAGAGAACAGTTAAGTCACTTATAAAGTATCTACAAACTGTTTGGAAGTCTAAGGCAAATGGGAGGAAAGACTAAGGCCCAAGCTGTATAGAGGCTACAATGACACAACACAAGGGATTCTGTTGTAACCTATATAATTTGGTTTTCTGGCCAGTCTGAGCACTAAATGTCTTAGGAGGTGGTAAACTTACCTGGAGAAAAACTGCTTGGTAATACCATTGAGGTGGCAGAATTTGTCTTTTATTATGTGTCATTACAATTTCAGCACATTCTGTGGAGCCTGTAGATAAGCAGTTCGTATGGCTGCATAATTGTCTGAAACCTCCAGCAAGGTAGAAGTGCTATTTTTTTGTTGAGGAACAACAAAATTGTGATGCTGCGCAATACCTGGAAGGCTTTCAGTCACATTCACTAGGAAAAATTAACCATGACTGGAAGAAAATTGTCAGCCAGTCACCCCTCATTTCCAACAATGCATTTGTAACACATCTGAGGATGTTCAATTCAAATGTGGCATGATAAAAAGGAATGTTTTTTTAACTATCTGCTGTACATGAATGACCATTTTGCTGCCATATGTTACAAAAACTGATGGACATTTGTCCTATTTTATTTTTGCTGGAACACTAGATCCTTTTTCATTATAAGGAAAAAAAACACCTCACAAACTTGTCTTGAAAACATACACAGTTTTGTAACAACTGCAGTAATCTGACATAACCCCACAGATGACATTTCAGAAGCAAAGGAGGCAATTTTTCTTCAATATCCAACACAGTATTTTAGTCATTTATTGACTAAATATTGACTACTTCTGTGACTTTCTCATCTTTGGGTTCTTTTCACACACAGACCAAAATAAATGTAAGTTAAAGCAGCACTAATTTACAAGCAAAGTGGTCACATATGCAGTGCTACTTCAACAGATTTACCAATTCCTACCACCTTCAATTCAGTTCCTTTTTCCCTTTGTACTTCCACTACTCCTTTATACATGCATACAGTTACACTAGTGTGCGTGAGATTATTGCACTGTGTTCTGCCTTTCTATAGAGCCTCTGAAAATACTTTTTTCAGGCTCAATATCTACAGTAAAAATGAAATATAAAGTTTTTGCATAAGAAACCAAAGCAGGCTCTCAAGAAGGAAGATAAAAAAAGAGAATCCCAACTGCAAACCATACCTTGGACTCACAAGTCATCCAGCCCTAAAGAAAGTCACTTTCTAATGTCTCAAAGACATAAGAAAACGATTATACTAAATAACGTTCTCAACTCAGTTAAAACCACTGTGTTTAAAAGAAATTAACACATACTTTTGGAAAAACAGGGAGAAAAGTCCAGAAACCAGACAGAAGGCCTGGAAATAATACTCTAAACTGTAGCGTTTCTTTAGTGAAAAAAGTCATGATGTATTGCACCATAAGTACATTCCTAGCTCCTGAAGGAAGTGGAGACATGGCAGTGGTCTTCCTGTCACACACTAGGCTCTGGTGATTTAGTTCTTTTGTACAAATGGTCACACATTGTTTTAAGGCGATGGAGAATTTTAAGGCTTGTAGGAAATGAAATACAAAGGGCAAGTCCTGAGGACTCCTCCTTGACAGTTTCTCCTACAGAGAAGCCTGTGGTTTCAAGGGACTGCACCTAATTCAGCTTGCATTCAGGCTTCCATCCTGAGCAGCAAACAGAGCTAGGGAGAAGTGAAAGGGCCTGTGGAAATTCAAAGTGCAGAACAAATATGAGTAACAGATTGAGATAGTGAGACTTACCATCACTTATGGCCACATTGCAGCTACATCACATCCAGCTACAACATGATAGCTTTAGCCACGAAACAAGAAAACTGACATATCATGCAAAGAGAAGCTTCCATCTAAAGTGCAACAAATACTTTCACATTTCATGTTATCTTTAATATTGATACTTCTATTATGAAATTTTGTAGTCAAGAAGATCAAATGTTTTATGCGATTAAAAAAAAAATTAGTTCAGAATAAAATTTTTATTTATGTACACCTCCTCCTCCGGTTTCTTTAGGAAAAAAAACCAAAGCCTAACAGTGACAGATTTACACTGAAATAAATAAATGCACTGTCTAGCAGGATTACTCCAAGCCAGTTGAATGTTTTCTCCTTAAGATGAATACTTTATTTAATAGCAATGATTTAACCAAAAGATGATTGAAAATAATTGCAATCCCAAGCTCCAGAACAGTTCTTCGAAACACAAGCCACTAACTTCAGCCAAGAAAATAAAAATAAAGCCTGCTTCTGACATGCCTGAGCGTCTCCATCAGGTTAAGGAGTTTCAAAGGGGGAAATACTACAAAAGTACTGTCCCACCAGTATCCCTATGCACTCCAGTTGAGAGTCCAGTCCAGCTGGAAACTGAGTCAATAATCTTTGCTTCAATAAGAGTAGGAGCCCCCAGAATATCACAGTAATATGCTATTTTTTTAAATCAAGGGTTTCTGCAAGAGTCAAGTCAGTGGTAAAAAAAATTAATACTCATCTATCCTTAACAACTAAGTCAGTGCAGCAGTGCTATCCGCTGCCAAGCTAAGGCCAAAGTTGAGTTTATCCTCTGTGTTACTACCACAGAGACCTGCCTAAGCTAGCGTTTCCTAGTTACCTTGCTCAACCCTTTTTCTGTCTACAAATCAACCCTGTCATTCAGTTCTTGTCCCTAATTAGCTCCAAAAGCATGAACCATGGAGACAAAGTTGTGCTGCTTCCCAACCTAGACCTGCATCCATGCGCTTTCTGAACACCCTGAGTAATATGCCCACTTGCCATTTTGGGAAACACTCAAAGGCAAATTCTCTGCTCCCTGTGTTTACACACTTTGTTTCCACAGGATTCTCAATACAGATGTAAATGGAGCAGGGTCACTTCTACAATGAAGTGACTGAAGTCCATCACTTAAGTATGTTCACCAGATCAGTGAAAAATTCTGCTGTGTACCTGGAAGGGGCATTGGAAGTATCCCCTGCTTATCCACAGCGCCCACATTCTTGATCACCGAATCTGTCAGTTGAAGACAGAAGGCTACAACCCAGCTATCTGACTCCTGCTTTAAGCTGTATTGTGTTTACTGTGGTTCAAATGTCCAAACATGTTGGTTCTGCAGGGCAAAACAAACAAAATGATATTCAAACTCTATTTAAAAAAAAATATTCTTCTTAAACCAGGTTTTAACATACAAAATTGAGATTAGTTCAATAAAGGCAGACCGAAAGATGGACTAGCCTTCTGTCTTCAACATTGCCACGTAAGACTGTAAGAAACAGGAAGGGCAAGATACACATTACAAATATACAACACTTGCTCCAAATGCTCTTCCAAATTGTGGCTATTTTCAACTCGGGGAACCTTCCAAGTCAGATGTGGCTCCCTATGCTTAGCAGTCCTCAGCATATTTCTATTTCATATACCACTTCACTCTTGCAGCACCAGTAGACCTTTATTATCCTTTGGAAACAAGCTTCAGAAGTCTACCATGTATTGCATCAAGTGCACATCCTCACTCTGTTAGGCTTATGCAATATCTCCAAAGTTCTTGTATTAGAAGAGGTGCTGAACCTTAGGTTTTAACTTGATCTCACTAATAGCTCTTTAGCCTCTGTCACATCCCAAGTTTTCTCTGTTCTGAACTGAAGACTTTGAGCCTAATCATCTCTTTCTCACACTGATCAACCCTGTGATTTACACAGAATTATTGCAAGGGTTGCAGCTCCTTTTGCAGACTTTATAATCAGTTTCTCTATGAGTCACTGATACTATCTAAAAATTTATTACCTAAAATCTTCATCTTCGCATTTTGTCTTGTAAAATTACAGGTGACTTGTGCTTAAATTGCTTTACACCTAGAAAGGTCATCTTACATTACTGAGATTACTTCATTGTAACCAGAAGTTATTTGGTTTGTAAATTTTACCATAGATCAACTGCAAAGTATTCAATGCTTCCCATTTTCAATGTAACAGCTGCCAACAAGATGTCTCTAAAGAAAATAGGACTAAATAATTTTAAATAGAGAAATACTTGGTTCAGTATCAGGAAGGAAAGACTATTTTAAGCGCTGCAGTGTTTGCCAGGTGATAAACTTCTTGTGCTTCACTGAATGTAGGAGCCAAGTTAGATTTATCTTTTTTTATGAAACAACCTAAAAGTAAAATCAGCTGTTTGTAAACAAACACAAAGTACTTGCTTCCAAACATGAAAAGAAAAGGCAGAGAGAAAACCAAGAACACAACTCCCCTGTGGTACTCCTTATTAATCTGTAGATGGGAAAACTGAGTGAGTTGACAAGTCAGGGAAGAGTGACATTTTTCTATTATATTACAGTCACATCACTACAATCTCATCTTCTGGAAGAAATGCAGCGCATTTCATAGTTCCAGTTAAAATTCATCACTTTAAACAGCAGGATTACTGAAGTCTGTTTTCCAGTAGGCTTATGATTTTCAGAACTCTGCATTCATGAGTTCATCCCTTAGGGATGACTGCCTGCAAACTGACATAGGAGACAAATTTTAACCAAGAGCTAAATCTGGGACTTTCTGTTGTGGACTCTGATCCCCAGGTTTAGTTCATACTGCATTCTCTAATACAGCATCACAGTCTGTGAATTTCTCCCTCTTCAGACCAAAATGACTGGTGTGTCCTGCCTTTCAGATCTTTGCATCCCTCCTGGCTCTAGAAATTATTATTAGGAACAGATAACAGCACATGGGCTACGATATGATCTTTAACAGACAAAGCCAGTAAAGAAAAAGAATCAATACTATATACTTCAAAACATTTGAACAAATGTTTCTATTCTGTGGCTTGTATTAAAGTACTTCCAGTGCTGAGCTTTACAAGCACACAAAGAAAGGTGCTATTCTTCCTGAAAACTAGATGTTAATATAATGGTAGTATTCATGCAGTTTATGAGATTATGAAGAATTTAGCTTATTTACTTTTCAGGAAAGTTGGGTGATATGCATCTAGACTGATATTAAAACATATCTGAATAGCTTTAATATTGAAAATTAAAATGTTACCATTGGATTATGTATGCAATTAAGTAGAGAATGATCATTACTACTGTGATGATTATAAACAGCATTGTGATTGCTATAAACATTGAGTTTGGGATCCTACCTGAGTTTATGTTGTTCCCACAAATGTTTTCCAAAGGGGGAAAAAAACTTGCACACAGTAACAAGCTGTTTATTCTTAACCACTGACATTAACAATTGACCACTAGTTACTAAGTTTCAGAGGTAGAAACTTTCTTACTTCCCTCTCAGTTCATGTAGACATTGCATGAGTGTGAGTTACCCAACTGCTAACCTGTTTATTACCTGGCTTATATCATTGTTTACTCTGATCCATCAGTACCAGAGAAGCTGCACATGCACACACACATATCCATGAGTAAAGAAAAAATTTAGTATGTCTCATAGATACCAAGGAAATACTGGATTAAAAGAGATCCTTTCATCCTGATTGCTCCTTAGCTCAGTTTTTCTGTATCCCTATTTTAAGTAACCCATGTTCTGAGAAAAAAGACAAATCTTTTCATGTCTTAAGACCTGCTTCAATCCATCTTACAGATAATAAAAGCCCTGTTACACATCAAGAAATTCTCTCTATGCACAAGAGAATGTATTTTTTCCCTCCCGTAACCAATTACTGAAAAAATTAGTAAGTAACGGATGTCTATCTAAGGGTATTTACCTAAAGGTGCAGTGGTAGAAGCATTAGCCTTCCAGAACATAAGACAACCTCAAACATAGGTTTGATGTTTCCCCTTTTTGTTCAGAGAGGAGAAATTAGTCAGGCACATTAGAATCTGGTTTCCCTTTGGATCTGAGACATGTACTGCCTAATTAACAGTAATAAGCATACAAGCATGAAAGAAGCAATAAGCATGCATGGATTTATTTGCTAAAACTTGCACAAGGAAAATCGCTCCTAAAGGGGTAGGAAAAGCAAGTCAAACAATGCAAGTGTTGGTTTATGCTGGCTCTTTTGTAGGTCAGTACCCAGTATATCAACACAAAATTCTACCAATTAAAAACATTAATCTTGAGTTGGACACTCCCAAAATCTTAAGATTTGCTTTTATACTAATTGATCATTTTCAGTTTCATTTAAGGAGGAAGCTTAAGAGAAGAACACACACACCCCTTCAGAAGTTTATAGCTTTTGAGGGAAAACTGCCAGGCTTCTAAATGCATAGCATTTTGAGGGTACAAATCCAGCCTTAGAAAGTGCAAGCAAGCCTTCTCACTAGTGATCAGAAGGAATTCCCCATCTCTCTGCTTTCTGGAAATCATTTCTTGTGTTCATAATACTCTGCTTTAGCATCCTGCTGCTCCAGCTTTCTCCTTTCTCTCCTGAAGATCATCTGTTTCTTTCTCCCCTTCTGCTCCTGAAGATCATCTGTTTCTCCCCTCTTATCCACACCTCTCATTGTCTTATTCTCCTTACTGTTCCTACACCCCAAAATTTGGTCTTGCTAGGACTGTAAGAGATAGTGATTATCATAACAAGAAACTCCTTCTTTCACATTGCTTGGTTAGGATCAACTTGCTGACTTCAGTAGTCACAGGAACTTGCTATTTTCAATTAAAAATCACAAGATAGCAAAGTTTCAGAACACTAGAAATACATCATTAGTCAGACCACTGGTCCATCCAGCTCAGTATTTGACCTCCA